AAACAAATCATGGAAAGTACGTTGCTATTTATTGCATTCAATCGTTAGTAGTTGTTGGGTCACAAAAGTTATTTATTTACCAACTATGTCTCTTTGAAATAATAAATTTATTGGATTAAAATGCAAAAAATAGCAACGTTCTTTACCAAAGTCCCTATTATAGCAATCTACTTATTAGTGTTGGTCATAATAATAACCTTTTAGCAAGATCTTTTAAAGTGTACAATTTATCAAAAATAATAGAGTTTTTTATTCTTTTATAATATTTTTTATTTATGATATTTTAAGTGAACAACGGTATAAAATAAAAAGAGCACACAATCATATTGGTGACATCTATGGCTCCAAGCCTCCAATAATTTCATATGCATATTTTCTCCATCATGAATCATCCTCCCAACTCTTTTGTAAGCCTGTACAAAACCATTAAAAACTTGAAGCAACAAAAAAAGGCTTATAACAGATGGTTAAGCTGCTACTTTCACATAGTGGTGTGTCTGAAATTAATGAGTCAATTTCTTAAATTTAAACCGAGATAAGGTGACAACTGATGTTGCAAGTCCTGAAGATGATTTTAATTTAAGACCTAATGAGTTTTTGCTTATGCCGCCCTTCGTTCAAGTGGATATCTTTGGCTCATCATTAAAGTAATCAAGATTGAGAACAAGAAAGTAGTGAATGATGCATTATCATGGGTGATATTTTGAGTTTTGGGTTATATGATTAATGATGGTTTCTTTTCTATAGAATAAATAAGAAACTTCTCTTTATTATGTAATTGTAACCTTCTTACATAATCCATCAATTATGACATAGGACGGCCTTTACAATTTCCCTAGTATTAAATATAAAAAAAACCATGTAGATTGATCAAAATACTAATGATATGCCATGTCAACATAGCAACCGGCTATACCATTACCCTCTCTAAAAATGGATAGTTTAAAGACTTGGAATACAAAAAAATAAATATCAGTGACTAAATTTAAGGTGTTTTTATTTTTAAACGTAGATATTTGAGAAAATATATTATGATATTTAAGAAAATATATTAAACATAAAAAAACCATGTAGATGCCATGTGGGCAACTTTTGTTGTTGACGAAAATGTCCAATAACATGACATGTCAACATAACAACCGGGTATACCATTATCCTCTCTCAAAATAGCATTTTTGATACGTGAAAGGACATTTTAGGGACTTGAATTTCATAAAATAAAGATCAGTGACCAAATGGAACAAACACACAAAGTTTGATGGACTATAATAATATTAAGCATCCTCTACATTTCTACTGTCTAGGCATCTATGATGTGAGAGCAGGCTGGGCTCATTTAGGTCATATTGGATTAATCGTATACTGGGCCCAAACATCGAATCTATTTGAAACTGGCTCATTTTGTTTTAGGGAAGCCTATGGAATATGGAACATTTAATTATGTAAAATTTCTCCATATATGACAAAAGAATCACAAAGAGCAGCCACTAATTCCTAAGTAAGTAAACAATTATTAAAAGAAATTTACATTATAACTATCAAATTAAGAATGAAATAATATTATTTCTTATTATATAATTTAAAAGTTAATTACCTCGAAGATAATTTAGATTAAAAAACGAGGTAGCATGTATTATCCAATTTGTTTTATTTTGCTGTTCTTTCTATACGAACGAGCCAAACTTTGAAAGTAACTTTTAATGCTTGAATCTTTTCCAAGTATCATCTATATTTGTAAACTAAATCTATCTCATCTTTTAATCACAAATAATGGTCCTTTTTACCTTAATATTTTGTAAACCATACACAAACACTTATGTTTTTAAGAATTATTGTGACGAAACGTCACTAGTTCAATTCCAAGACATGTAGAATATGTTTAGGATCTTATATGGAGTTGGACTTTGCCTATTACAATTGGACTTGGCACACTCTTTTAATTTAAACCAGACATAACCTCGCACGTTGTGCAAGAATGCATTTAAGTGGTTAAAATAATTATGGAAAAAATAGAAATATGTTGAAATTTACGTTTTTAGTCATGTTTTGGGCATTAACCGAATTATCATATAATATAAAAATTCATCAACTTATATTTTGATACTATCTAATATAGTTCATACCTTATAAACTTTGCTTTTACTTTTATACTATCAAACTAGGTTAAAACCCGTGGAAACCACGGGTAAAAAAAACACTATTGATAATTTAAAATGATAATAAATAATAAAACATTATTAAATTATAAAGATAGAAGTTTTGTCTATAAGTTTATAATGATTAGTTAAATTAATACATTGTTGTGAATACCGATTTATGTTTTGTATGTATAGACATTTGATAAAGTTATGATTTTATACAATACAATATAAATTTAAATAGAATAAAAAAACACAATAAATAATGATAATGATATTGTTATATGGTAATTTTCTTATTATCTAAATATAATTTGCTTAATTTTCTTATTTCTCTATTTTGGTGTTCTTATTTGTATTTGACACCATGTATTTGCATAAACAAAAAATATAGTATATTGGAATCGTCCACTGCCCATGTTCAAAATGGTATGATTTCCGGAAAAGAACCAAAATAACCCTATATTTTTAATTTTGCACCAAAAAAATTAATTATATATATATATATAATTGATGATGCATTACATGGTGTCAAATAAAAATAATTACTTGAAATGTGGATGTAAACAAAATAAAACAATTTTACTTTTATCTCGTAGGAATATTACTTTTTATGTCCTTTCCACATTAGCCACAAAACTTTGCAAATCTTACACTTTTGGTCTTAATTCACAAAACTTTGCAAATCTTACACTTATTGTGCTTGCTGTTTAGATTTTGGTTTTTTGCACTATATAGTTTTTAAAAATAACACCAAATAAAAATCACTTGTTGATTTTATTACTAAACATAAATATGATAGGCAAAACTTATTTAGTCAAATATGCATTTTCACTTTTATATATCAACATGTGATTACCATTTCGTAAGTTTACTTTTATTTTTACTAACTAAAATTTTCATTGTTAATGTAATTGAATGGAACAACCGACATAAACCAAAACCCAAACTGGGTAACTAAAAATTAGTTCTTTAAATCCTAATTTTAAAACTAATAACTGAAATATTGCCACTAAGATATTTTAAATACATAACGTTCACAACAATAAATAACAAAAAACATAACTATCTAATCGGTGTAAATTTACTCTGTTTTAGCATAACACAATCTAATAGAAACACTACAAATATGTGCAGTTCATGTTTCGTTTTCCTCACGGATGCTCTCTGGACATCATTGGGCGAAGAGACCGTATCTACAACAAAATAAACCATGAAAATTGTTTGCTCTAAATTCAAAATGCAAACCACACTTATCATTTATATGTTATAAGGGATGAATTTGTGATCTACTTGTAGCTTTAAAAAATTGGTTATCTTATTTGGATTCTTGATATTGCACACTAATAAATGAAAAGTTGCTTTCTAAACGTTAAAATTTAAACACAAAATGAGAATATTTAGCAGACTTTTTTAAATGAATTCAAATATGTTATGAAGTTTTATAATATTTTCAAACAACAAAGTAAAATCTTCAAAGCATTTGTATATTTAAAAGAAGTGACATATATGTCGCCCATACATACGATTACATCAAAAGAAACTAACAACATGCATATGGCACCCACAAAATAAATAAAATCAGCCATCAACATGTAATCAATACAATTGCATTAATCATTTGGCAATGCCATACAACTTTTTGATATGAAATACTGAGAGTATATATATATATATATATATATATATATATATATATATATATATATATATATATATATATATATATATATATTCAATAGTGTTTTTAACATGGATGACAATAATCAATATAAACAACATTCTTGTATTAGCATACTTTAGGTTTTTGTTATTAGTAGTTATAATTATGCTACTATCTTATAATTTATATTTTAATGGAAATAGTTGTATTTATTGTCATGAATTTTTGGGAAAAAAAATAAAATAACAAAAAGGCTGATTAATTTGTTGTTATAGATGAAAACTGAGAGAGACATTGATATTGTTAGACCACAAAAAATAGGAAAATTATAAGAAATACAATTAATACGAAGAATATCTTTATCATTAGCCACCTGTTTGATGATATACCATTCAAGTACCTCATTAATTGCCCTTGTGCCCCTTCTACATTTGCTACTCTATCCTCCATGTTTTCATCTATCCTATCACATTATTCAATATTCATTTATGAATAATACCAAAATGGAAACATATACTCTAAAATAGTTATATATCTGTTCCAATGTAAGCTATGTATTCTTTGTTTCTTTTGAGTTAATTCATAAAGAACAACTTAATATAGAGAGAAACTTCAGGGACATTATTAGGCTTAGGCTATCCCCATTCAGTTCTTAACCTTTTACAGATTTTCCCTCATTTTGTAATTTTCCTTCATTTATTCAGACATTATTTAATGGAAAAAAAGAAAGGTACCTAATTCAAGCTCCCCTTGTTGAGAAACCATGGTTGCCAATTGTGTAAAAATGTTGCCCAATTCATGAATTGTTGACTCAACATTGTGACAGATTCTTAAAAAACACATGGGTTGTTAGGCCATGTTTGTTACACGGGACAAGGGCATTTAAGTCTTTTGGGTGGGGGATAAAAGTTGGGATTTATGTCCCATTAACAAAAGGGGACTTAGATTCTTGGATGAGTAATGAAACAAAATTACACCTCTGTCCTCATTGTAAGAACTTCCTTGAACTCCTTGTGGCACCCATGAGACGATTCTTGAGATTATCAACAACAGTAGTTGAATGAGTAGTTGTGTCACTTGAAATGCTTTGGCTTTCATTTTGTGAATTGCAAACTAATTGCAAATCCACCACAGTTGCATTCAGTGCAGTTATGTCCTACTTTATCACACCTGTTAATTCTTGAATCTCCATTGTTGGATCATCGAAGACAGAGGTCCTTTTTTGCCACTGCAAAGATAAAAACATTTAGGGTTACATGCAAGAAATAGGAATTTAGTTTTATTAATTTAAATTTTATCAAGTCTGTATAAGGGTGATCTAATCTGTTGATCTCACACAATCAATAATGCATGTAGAAACCCTATCTCCTTACATAACACAAATGCCAATGTACATAGTATCAATTTGTGAGTGAGATAGGGTTTCCAGTTTCCACAATCACTTTTCATTGCAAATTTAAAAGAAAATGCAACATCACAACTTATGATCAAACAAGGAGCAACGTTAAGGCATCTGGGAAGCTTAATCTATGAACATGTCAAGCACCAATAGTAAATGCAAACTTTCTCTGTTGATATTTTTAGACATTAATGTTTCCTTAAGAGTTCTAATCTGTATACTGCATGTTCATACGAAGCTAAACCACACGTGCATACACATTTCCCAATATATTGATTAATAACTCACATTTTGCAAGTTTCGCTAGCTTCTGCGACGTCTGATGAATTCCATATCCAATTTTGGAAGCCCTCTTGTTGAATTCCGTCTGGATTGCAACCTTTGATCTCGATCCCTCGGCTTTGGTAGAAACCCCAACACCCCCGTTAATCACACTCACCGACGCATTTAGAGATGGTAACGACTTTCTTAGCCTCTCGGTTATGCTAGAAAACTCATGCGTCCGATCTCTATATGAATAACCTTGCGAGGATTTGACATTCATCGTATAATAATGTGTATTTATATTAGATCGAACGCCGTTTCTTGCAACGAACCATTGATGGAGAGGGAAGAAGATTAAGGTTTAAGATAGAATCTACCTTCAAGAATTGGTTACTAAGTTTGAATATGACTGATTCTTGCAATGGAATTCCTGATTTCTTGTTATCAAATTCGGAACTGATCGCCGATAATTTGCTATATCAATTCAAACTTCAAAGGTCGATGCATAACTATTAAAGTTGAAGCAAGGGTATTTGGGGAAATTCACTTTGGTATTTTGAGCGGGATAAATCTATTGGGAGGGGCTAATTGAATGCCACGTGGCAAAATTACTCTTATTTATTAGATTAGGGGATATATATTATAAGTTTTTGTATAACATTAATATAATCTACTTTTTTTTTATATCCGATAATATTTTTTTTGGATAAAATAAGAAATAAGTTGTTTTAAATGAGCTATTAATAAACAATATTGAACTAATAAACTTTGTATTACACGATTTATATTACACCAAAACATCCAAGGTTTCATATATGAACTTTCAAATATTAAACATTGAAATTAAGAATGAAGTCATACAAAATATATCATTATATATAAATGTGATCAAGAGTTCTAAAATAAGTCGATTAGTAAATATGATATTTAATATTAATTACATATTTTGCAAGGCGTACGTTTGACTTTATGTTGGTGCGTCGAGAATCCTCTTCCTTAATTTGTATCTAAAAAATTAAGGTGAATATGAATATAAAATAGATATTACTAAGCATTAATATAAATAATTAAAAATGGTATGTGGATCTCCTACCACCAGTTAAAAACAACATATCTCTCTAGTGATATTGATTCCTATGTAAAATTGAAGTAGTTATTCTATTTACACATTGTTTTTCTAATTACATAAACAAATATTAGTAACCAAACATAAAAATGTTATCTTTATGTAGGAAAAATATTTTAGTTAACTAACAAATTAAATAACATAAGTTTAAGAGTTAGGAGTTTCAAAACATTAATATTTATATTAATCAATCAATTAAGTAACACATGTTGAAATTATTACAAAATTATTAAAAAGCATTTGAAATATTATATTTTAAATGAATTTTGGTTGAAGTGTTTGACCTCTATTATAATATATATATATATATAATATATATATATATATATATATATATATATATATATATATATATATATATATATATATATATATATATATATATATATATATAGAGAGAGAGAGAGAGAGAGAGATGGAAAGTATAACATATGTATGAGTTTTAATTAATTATCTTTTTGAAACGGTACAATTACAAAACAAAAAAAAACATATTTAAAATATTTAATTAAATAATTTCCACATCACCCTATATAATATATGATCATTATATTAACGATTAAACCACAATATACAACGACTGTATTACAATAATCCAAAAACGAAGAAATTATAAAAACAAATTAGTATAACAAACTTACAATTAAAAGCTCTAATATAATAACATATCTCCAAAAGTGGTCATAAGACCTCAACCCAACACAAAAACCTTTAAGTTTGTTTTCTTTATGAAATTTGTATATGATTTGTATGCATGTATTCCCAAAAGATCGACATTTTATAGTAAACTTTTCACTAAATGCTTATTAAACATAATATAAGTTATAAAACTTTTGAGTGTTAAATCATAATTAAGAAAACTTTTGAGTTGCAATAGTTAAAAAAGGAGGTTTCAAATGAATGTGGTTTGAGGAAGTTAAAAAAGGGGTTTCAAATGAATGTGGTTTGAGAAAAAATGATTCTATTATAAGATAGATAGATAGATAGATAGATAGATTGGACTCAAGTAAAATGACCAACCCGACACTCGCAATCCCGCATTAGGCCATCTCCAATGGGAGTTTAATGGGGAGTTTTGTAACGCCCCGATTCTCAGGTATTGTTTAAATAAGAATTTAATTGGTTTCAAGGCCTACTCGACGAGTTGGTTGTCCTACTCATCGAGTAGCAACGGGCTTAGTATGCGTGTTCAGTGTCCTACTCGCCGAGTCCATAAAGGGACTCGACGAGTAGGAGCTGGCAGATGAAACCCTAAATCTCGGGGTTTTGCACCCTATTTAAGGAAACATAAGCCTCCTTTGGCCTCTTTTCAGTCCTTTGAGAGCCCTGAAAACCCTAATTCGTGTGGTGCTTCATTCTTGTGTGGCTAAAGCTTTGGGGAGGAGAGCTTTGGAGAAGAAGAGCTTGGAGAACAAAAGGCTAGGAGCAAGGAAGTGTGGGAAATCAGAAATCTACCTCAGATAGCATCATTTGGAGGTATCAAGTCGTCACCTTTTCTCCTTTTTCTTTCTAGACCTCTTTTGGTTGAGATCTAGGGTTTTTATGGTTTGGTTGAGATGGTAATGTGGGATATGAGCTAGATCTGAAGTTGTAACTTCAGATCTGTACCCTTCTTGAGTTCTAGAGCCATAAAGCTCCGAATTTGGTCATGTATGAAGCCTCTTTGAGTATGAAACTCCCATTGTGAGCTTGGATTTGACATTAGGAGCCTTTGTAGCTATGCATGCACGTAAAGTTTGCAACTTTACGTGAAAAGCATGCCTTAGAAGCTTGGATCTGTAGTTTGGAGCCGCTGCATGGCTCAAATGAGTCTGTATGGCAAAAAGGACTGAAGGGACTCGGCGAGTCGCATGGCTCGGCGAGTCACATGAAGATAGGCATGAACTCGGCGAGTTGGAAGAACAACTCAGCGAGTCCGATGATGATTGTCGTAGACTCGACGAGTGTATGAACAACTCGGCGAGTCGGATGAGGTTGCCCCAAATTATGTATGCGCGGGTAACTGTCGAGTTGTGAGAAGGAAGCTCGACGAGTGGCCTTAGGGTCTCGATCATAAACCAAAGGAACTCGACGAGTCACTCAGGTGACTCGGCGAGTGGGTTAGTACTTCAAGGAACTCGGCGAGTAGCCGGGGGTACTCGACGAGTCAAGGTCAACATGGACTGTTGACCTTGACTGATGACTTTGACTTTGACCAGGGTTTGATTAGTTGGCTTATGGGGTACCTTGAAGGGTTGGGAACTTATGGGTATAATTATACTATGGTAATAGGTGGTGGAGTTTGTGGCAGTGATCCGAGGGTTGAAGTTTATCTACCGAGTCGACATCTGCAAGGTGAGTTATCCTCACTATATCGATAGGGTCTAAGGCACCAAGGCCGACCCTTTAGTTGTTATCGTTATGGTATGCTACATGTGGATATGATCTGTTAGATCTGAATCAGGATAGACAGTATGTTATGCTCTTATGATCCGTAGGGATTGATATGTTAGTGACCTGCTAGGTCAGTGCTCTAGTTATGAGAGATTGCTATGTTTGGTAATCAGTGAGATAGATATGTTCGATGTTTGTATATGCCAGTAAATGTTAGTTATGCGCACATGGTTATTTGCTTGTTGCTTGGGTTGAGGCGGTCCTGCTTTGTGCTGAAGGCCAACACACCCTATGAGCGGTCCGGGAAGACTGTAGGCCCACGTGGCGGTCAAGTCATGCGGAAGGCTCGGTATAGATTCAGTTGGACTGTAGGCCCTGTAGGGCAGTCCAGTCAGGCCGATGGCCCAGTATGCATGTTGATTGATTAATTATTACGGATATGGTATTATCAGTGTGGTATTGGTATTTTGGGGGTAGCTCACTAAGCCCTCGGGCTTACAGTTTTCAGTTTATTGTTTCAGGTACTTCAGGAGTTCATGGCAAGGCGAAGGCGTGACCGTACCACTCCTCATCCTTATGATCTGGCTTTTGGGACACTCTGATTGAATAATGAATTGAAAACATTTTTGTAAACAATACTATTGGGTTTTATTTATGCTTGAAAAGTTTAAATTTGGCGTAAAATTTTTGGATGTTACAAGTTTAGTCTCATTAAACTCAAAATCCATACTGTGGGAAAATGACTAGGATTCAATAGAATGGGGAGTTCAATCCCCATTGAACTCTATACTCTCTCTCTCTCTCTTCACACACACACACACAAACACACACACACACATACACACACACACACACACATATATATATATATATATATATATATATATATATATAATATATATATATATATATATATATATATATATATATATTTATATATATATATATATAAGAGTTCATTTGAGACGGACATAATTTTGTGAGACTGTGAGACAAAATTTTTTTATTGAAATATTCTACTATTCTATTGTTCGTAAAAATAGGATATGCAATATATTCTAACTTTATATGTTTTAGAATATTTCAATGTAAAATATGTTAAAATTATTGTTTTAGAATATTAGAATATTACACATATTTAATTTCTATGAACACTAGAATATTAGAATATTTCTTTAGAAAAAAGTGGTCTTACGGTCTCACAAAATTAGGCCGTCACACGTGAACCTAACTCTCTCTCTCTCTCTATATATATATATATAATATATATATATATATATATATATATATATATATATATATATATATATATATATATATATATATATATATATATATATATTATTTATTTCAAATTTGTAATTTTTAATTTTTAAGTAATGTTATTTTTAATTGTAGTTTTTAATTTTTAATTTCATGCTGATTAATTTTTTAAAAAATAAATAAAAAGAATATGATAAATGATGCGACAACACATTAAATTGTATAGAGTTTAATGGAGTGTAGAGTTTAATGGATAAAGTTGTATAGTAAGTAGAATGTATATGTATCAATCCATTGAATTCATATGAGTTCAATGCATTGGAGATGGCCTTAGCATATCTCAAGGCTCAAGCCACATTACTAAAAAGTAGACTAAATAAGAGAATGTGTTTGTGAATCTCAATTTGTGAATATGGTCAATTTTTTTCCTTTTCCCCCTAAGATACATCTTGTGATGTTTTCATTCATGAGGTGTTTAACTTAACAATACAATCATTAATTTTTTATTATTGTCTCTT